AGCGCGCGCCCGGGAGGCCCCTGGGAGGGGGGGGCGCCCCCGCGGAGGGACGGGCGGGGAGGCCGGGGGCTGCGGGCGGCTCGGGCAGGCAGAGGCCGCGGTGGCCCTGCCCGTGCCGGCTCTTAGGCGCGCCGATGCCGGAGTCCCCCCCATGTGTCCCGCCGGGTGATTGCATAGGGCGAGGGCCAGGGACTCCCGCCTTGCCCCAGAAGAGCGCTGGTGGCCGTGGCTGCAGAGCGTGGTCCCCCAGGAGAAAGGGTTGTGCGGGAGGGCAAGGCGCTTAGAGTAACCCGCCGGTGTCTACGCGGCCGGGGATGGGGAAGTGGCCCTTCCCCACCCACGTGTCCGCCTAACGTGCTCTGTCTGTCCAGAACAGATCTTGGCCCTTGGCCAAGCACTCCTGATGCCTCATTTTCCCCTGGGCTCTTTCCGACCGCCACTTTTGGGGCTGAGGCCCTCCGGAAGCCTTCCCAGGTCCCGTCCCCTTTCTACACAGCCAGAGCCCCATGGATCTTCCGTCTCCCGGAGGAACCGGGAAGCCAAACAGAAGCGCCTGCGAGAGAAACAGGCAGTGCTGGAGACCGGGGTAGCTGGGAAGAGCGAGGTTAGAGGTGGGACAGCTTGTCTTGGGTCACTGAGATGTGGGATCCATCTGGGGTATACCGAAGTTGCAGCCCACCCCCTTTCCGCTCCTCCCCCTAGTCTGCAGAATCCAGTAAGGCCTGGAGTCCCAAGGAGATAGTACTGTATGAAATCCCAACCGACCCCGGTGAAAAGAAAGGTAACAAGCGCTGGGGGCCCTGCCCGGCATCCTCCCCGCGGGCTGTGCTGGCCTGCAGCCTGGAACAAGGCCCAGGAGCCAGCGGAGCGCCCTTCTCCCTGCAGACACCTCTCGGCCCCTGCCCCCGGCATACAGCCCCCGCTATGTTGAGGCCGCCTGGTACCCGTGGTGGGTGCGACAGGGCTTCTTCAAGCCTGAGTATCAGGTTAGTGCCGGGAGGGGTGCCCAGGAGTCCTGGGACAGAGCGGCAGAACTTGTCCTGGCAGCTCCCCACCCCTTCCCTGATTGACGGGAGTTTCCCACTGATCTGCTGTGGGGACACCAGAGGGTGCTATTCCCTCAGGTACCCGGCTTTCTTGCCCTTTGACCTTTGTTCTTCCTTCTAGGCCCGGCTGCCCCAGGCCACAGGGGAGACCTTTTCTATGTGTATCCCACCCCCCAACGTCACTGGCTCCCTGCACATCGGCCATGCACTCACGGTGGCCATACAGGACACCCTCGTGCGCTGGTGAGGAGGAGATGGGGGAAACACAGCAAGTGCCTGAGCGAGGGTGAACACGGGCGCCCAGGGCTCACTGGGGCCTTCCCGTTGCAGGCACCGGATGCGTGGGGACCGTGTGCTGTGGGTCCCTGGCTCGGACCACGCAGGCATTGCTACCCAGGTGTGTCCTTTGTTATGTTTTCCATCTCTTCGGTGAGAGCAGCTCCTTCCACAGCGACCTCTCTGTTCCTTTGCCCCGATGTGCTGCAGGCTGTGGTGGAGAAGCAGCTGTGGAGGGAGCGCGGCCTGAGGAGGCACGAGCTGAGCAGGGAGGACTTCCTCAGGGAGGTGTGGCAGTGGAAGGAGGCGTGAGTGTGCCAGGCTGGTGGGAGCAGGGGCGGGTTGGGTCCTGGCTTCCCACTGTGGGAGCCCCTGAGCACTTGGTGGAGTCTTTGAGCCGTGTGTGTGTATATGTATATGTGCGTGTGTATATGTGTGCGTGTGCACACACATGTGCCATATGCACTTGGACTTACACATCTGTGTGTGCATACACAGATGTGGACATACGTCCGTGTGTGCGGACTGTAGTCCTGTGTACGTACAGTGCCCGTCTGCGTGCCCGTCTCCTCTGGCCTAGCCCGCGGCCCCCGTCCCTCTCAGCCGTCTTCAGGCCCAGTCTGTCTCACGTGCTGTCTGCTCTGTGCAGCTCCTTTGGGTTTCCATGGACCGCCCCCTCTTCTGCTCCTGTGGAACCCTGTGCCCCTTCCACATCATAGAAAGCCGCGTACTGGGTGTGTGGTCCGTTTCCCGGAGCTTCTCCGGCTCCATCGAGGCCATCCTCACTGATGCTTTCTCCTGGCTGCCAGCACTGCCTGGGTGTCCCTGGGCTGGTCCCGGAGGTGCCTAGGGCGTGCTGGGTGACATTGCTCTCTCTGGGTGCAGGAAGGGTGGGGAGATCTGTGAGCAGCTGCGTGCCCTGGGTGCCTCCCTGGACTGGGATCGAGAGCGCTTCACCATGGACGCCGTGAGTGTGCCTGGCCCTGGGCCTGGTGGGTGCTGGGGCAGGGGAGGGAGTGCCTGGCCCGTAAGTTGAGAAGGGCACTCTTAGATGTGGACCCTCGGATGGTTCTAGGGCTCCTCAGTGGCTGTGACCGAAGCTTTCGTGCGACTCTACGAGGCGGGGCTGTTGTACCGGAGCCGTCAGCTTGTCAACTGGTCTTGTGCTTTACGGTCGGCCATCTCCGATATTGAGGTGAGGCGGAGAGAAGGAAGCAGGTCTGCGAGTGCGGAGGCGGGGTAGCTCAGTGGTTAAGACTCAGTCCCGGAGCAGACTGCCCGGACCGAGCCACGCTGACAGCCGTGCGACTGCTGGCAGCTGTTTAGCCTCTAAGTCTCAGCTTCCATTTGCAAATCATTTGGGCTGTTGGAAAAGTTACGGCGTGTTTTTCTGTGCAAAAATGCATCATGACTTTTTTTAGAGAGATTTGTTTTTTTGTTCTCTGGTGCATGTGCTCACTAAGGCAAGAGACAGAATGTGAGAAATCAGCCCTGGGGGAATGGCCACGCTGCAATCCCTTCTGTATTCTCCTCTTGGGATTTTGGTAACATGCACACATGCACCTGGTATGAGTTTCAAACCGCCAGGTCTGGGATTCAAACCATGGTTGACCATATGGGAGTCCAGCACCTTAACCACTGTGCCACCAGCTGACCCCACCACATGACTTTTTTGATGATCCAGTAGAGAAGATGAGATGCTTGCATTATGGGGCACACAGGGGAGGGGTCCAAAAAGTAAATGAGAATTCCTGTGAGGCGTGTAGCTCTGTACCTGGTCATGGCTATGCTCAGTGAGCGCTCGCTGGAACTTTACAAGGTCAGAGGTCGGGTGGGGGGGCGGTGGCTGCCGGACCCTCAGAACGGCCTTCAGGTGGCTTGCAGGGATGCTAGGCAGACGGATGAGCAGTGCTGGGAAGCCTGGGTGTGAGCTTTGAGAAAGGCCGACCGCTGACCTAGCTTCCTGTGCCTCCAGGTGGAGAGCCGGCCCCTGCCTGGGCGCACGGAGCTCCGACTACCCGGCTGCCCCACCCCTGTGGCTTTCGGCCTCCTCATTTCGGTCGCCTTCCCTGTGGATGGAGAGCCTGGTGAGTGTGGTTCTCTGCAGGGTCATCTACTTTGCCCTATGGGGCTCGGGGGCCAGCGGTTGGCGTGGTGGTTAAGGTGTTGGACTCCCACGTGGCCACCCACGTTTCAAGTCCTGGACCTGGTGGCTTGCTTTCTCGCTTTCCCTGTCTCTCTGTGTGTCTCTGGTGAGTGCATGTGCTCTATAGTAAATTAAAAAAGTAATAATAGTGATAAGTAAAATAATCTTTTTTGAAAAAAAGAAAAGTGCACATGGTCACTGTCCTTTAGGACTTAGCGTATCCTGCAGGGATCTGCTACCCGGTAAGGAGTCAAAAAGTCAGTTGTAAACCGAGGTGAGCAGCGAAAGGTTCAGAAAAAGGAAGAGACCAGCTGGAATCATACGGAAGTTTCTTGTAAGAAGGACTGTGCTAACTAAAGAACGTACAGCATTGGGACCCGCGGTTAGTGTAATGGCTATGTCGCTGGACTCCCATGTAGTCAACCGCGGTTCGAGTTCCGGACCCAGTGGCTGAAACTCTCATGTCAGGCGCGTGTGCGTGCGTGCCCAAGATCCTGAGAGAAAAAGGGAGGAGAAGGGATTGCGGCACGATCATGCCCCCTGGGGGTAATTTCTCGCTTTTTGTCTCTCTGTCTCTCTCTGTCTCTCTGGCGAGCACATGTGCCCTATAGCAAAAACCTCTCCAAAAAAAAAATGTACAACATTTTGTTTTGTTTTGTTTTGGAGAGGTTTTTGCTATAGTTTGCACGTGTTTGCCAGAAAGACGGAGACAGAGAGACAGAAAGCGAGAAATCATCCCCCGGGGGGATGGCCACGCTGCAATCCCTTCTCCTCCATTCTCCTCTCGGAATCCTGGGCATGCACGCACATGCGCCCAGCGTGAGTTTAAACCACCGGGTCTGGGGCTCGAACCGTGGCCGACTATATGGGAGTCCAGCAACATAGCCATTATGCCAACTGCTGGTCCCAAGAATGTACAGCTTTGTGATTAGGATCCCATTGTTCTCTGGGTGCCCAGCAAGGACTAGTGGTTTTTATTCAGCTGTTCCTGTTTGTCCTGTACAAATTGTCAAGGACTTCCTTAGCACCAGAACCGTCTTGGGCCCCTGGTCATGAGCTTGCAGGAAATCCAGCCTCTATGCGGCTCCTGATTTCTCCTAGTTGTTCCTGGGGGCCTGCTCAGTCGGGACGGCTCCCGCCCCTTGCCGTTTCCAGCTCGACTGGCCTTGGCTGTGTAGGGGGTGGGGGTGTGCGTGATGACCGGCCGTATGAGCTCGAGTGTCTGTCCTCAGATGCAGAGGTTGTGGTTGCAACCACGAGGCCAGAGACGTTGCCTGGAGACGTGGCCGTGGCCGTCCATCCTGACGATTCCCGATACACGGTAACGCGTGCTGCGCTCCCTCGCCCCGGGGTGCGCGGCTGCTCTTCCCTGACTGGGTGGCAGCTGCTGCTCCTGCTGCTTCCTTTCCCCCGAGGCGGCTCTCGTCTCGGCTCTGCAGTGGCCGGATTCCATTCCCTTCTCTCTCTCGCTCGCTCTCTTTTTAAATTATTTTTAAACTTTATTTATTTATTTTTAAAATTTTGTCCAGAGTGAGAGAAAAAGAGGAAAAAGAGAGAGAGAGATGGAAAGCGAGATAGCAAGCCACCAGATCCAGGACTTGAACTACAGTCAGCCATGTGGGAGTCCAGCGTCCTTAACCACCATGCCACCTGCTGGCCCTCCACTCCCCTCCTTCAATCTTTTTATTTTTCTTTTTTTGGAGAGGTTTTTGCTATAGGGTGCATGTGCTCGCCAGAGAGACAGAGAGACAGAAAGCGAGAAATCACCCCCTAGGGGGGATGGCCACGCCGCAATCCCTTCTCCTCCATTCTCCTCTTGGGATCTTGGGCACGCACGCTCATGCACTCGGCGTGAGTTAAAGCTAACAGGTTCGGGACTCGAACCACAGTCGACTACGTGGGAGTCCAGCAACATAGCCATTACACCACCTGCTGGTCCCTCCCTTCTTTCTTGATGTTACACTGTTTTCTAGAGCAGGGGTTGAGAGATGGTGGCCTGTCGGTCAGATCCAGCCACTGCCGGTTTCTCTGTGACCACGCGCTCGTTTCTGTGAGTTGACTAATCGCCATAGTGACAGAGCGGAGTGTTTGTGCCCAGGCTGAATCTGCCCCTTGGCCCACAAGTTTAAAGTATTTACTCTCTGGCCCCTGGAGACAGACTTGGCCGACCTCACTCAGCTACTTTCCCTTCCAGTTCCCATCCTCCTCTTTGCATGTCCAGCTAGACCTTCCCGTCCCACACGTGTCTGTCCCGACCCCTCTCCCCTCTTCCAGCACCTCCATGGACGACGGCTTCGTCACCCCTTGACAGGGCAGCTGCTCCCGCTCATCACAGACTCTGCCGTTCAGCCTCATGTGGGCACAGGTGAGGCGACAACAGGAGTCGGGGTCAGCAGGGGCTGGGGGCAGGGGGGAGTTGAGGGAGGCGGAGGAACGTAGGGGGAGACTCGCACGTGGGGTCGTCTGTGGCACTGGGGATGGAGGGCAGTGGTTGGGCAACTCGCACGTGGGGTCGTCTGTGGCACTGGGGGTGGAGGCCTGTGGTTGGGCGAGGGCCAGACCCTGGGGAGCAAAGCCAAGGCCAGGTTGGTGCTCACGGGGGTTCTGTGCCCCAGGGGCAGTGAAGGTAACTCCGGCTCACAGTCCTGCCGACGCCGAGATGGGGGCCCGGCACGGCTTCAGTCCCCTGGATGTCATTGCGGAGGACGGGACCATGACCTCGCTCTGCGGAGACTGGCTGCAGGTGTTACCCGGTGTTTGGAGGCACCCTCTGCCCTCGTCCCCTCTCTCACCTCCCTGTTCTTCTCGAGGCCTTTAGTCTTGCCCCTTTCCTCCAGGGTCTTCACCGATTCGTGGCCCGAGAAAAGATCGTGTCTGCACTGAGGGAGCGGGGCCTGTTCCGGGGCCTGCAGAGCCACCCCATGGTGCTGCCCATCTGCAGGTAACCCTGCGGGAACTTCCCGAAAGGGAGTGGCTGGGGCTGTGAGTGACGTGGGCCTGCACCCCCGTGCTGGAGTCCTGGTGGGGTGTCTGCCTCCTTCCTGGCTGTGTCATCCGAGGGACTCTCCCTGTCCCTGGGAGAAGCACGACCCGGGGTCAGTGGGCTCACCCTGTCTCCCTTTCAGCCGTTCTGGGGACGTGGTGGAACACCTGCTGAAGAGCCAGTGGTTCGTCCGCTGCCGGGAGATGGGGGCCCGAGCAGCAGAGGTGTGAGGGGGCTGGGCCCGGGGCCGGGGGCTCCCTGAAAGTGGGGGAGAAGCCAGAGGCCTAGGCCTGGAAGCCCTGCTGACAGGGCGGCTGCGTGGGGCCAGGGGCTGTGGTGATGGGGTGGCTGTGTGGGGCTGGAGGCACATGGCTCAGACCCCCTGCTCCAGCCCAGGGTCTCCACAGGGCTCGGAGGTCTGTTCTGCGGTTTAAAACCACCGCAGAGGCCACGTGTCCCGTCCCGGAGGTGTGCGCGTGCCTGAAGGGGCGCCGTGGGCAGGGGAGCGCTGTCTAAAGACCTTTCCTCCAGGCCGTGGCGTCGGGGGCCCTGGAGCTCAGCCCGCCCTTCCACCAGAAGAACTGGCAGCACTGGTTCGCCCACATTGGGTAAGAGCGGGGGGCTGCCCTCGGAGACCGGGGGACCAGTGTATGCCGAGACAGCCCTGGTGTCCTCTTGGCAGGGACTGGTGTGTCTCCCGGCAGCTGTGGTGGGGCCATCGGATTCCAGCCTACCTGGTCCGAGAGGAGGCGGGGAAGGGTGGGA